AGAGACAGAGAGAGACAGACAGAGAGAGACAGACAGAGAGAGACAGAGAGAGACAGAGAGAGAGAGACAGAGAGAGAGACGTTTTCTCACAGTACAAAATAATTTGATTAAAATCACTAAATCAGCGAAAAAATTGCCAACTTATTGGGGAAAGGGAACGAGACTACAGCCAGCAAGATATACTAAGGTTTATATCTTAAATGTGGCAAGTTTATACCTTTCTACTCCCTCTTTCTCTTTTCCCATCTTTTTTGCCTTTTTCTGCATGCAATTTCTGAGCAAAATAACCCCCCGTCAATTCGCCCAAAGTTCTTCTATTTCAATGTGCATTTACTTGCGCTCAGAGTTTTATTTGCCTGTGGGCGAGCAGTCTTGTCTAGATGCCTCACTGGGTATCAGGATGTACGCAGGACCAGTGGCAGCTGGAGATTACGAAGGTGGCATAATCTAAGGTTGTCTTGGCCAACATCGTTGGTGTTTAGTTTCTAGTTTAGATTCGTTGATTACTCACTTCAATAGAGTTTTAAAAGCAAATCTGAAATTGCCCATACTCCTCTATTAGTTTCTGGATCCGCCCCTGGACAAAAATCTCTCGACAGGGAAGGCATAATATCAATAAAATGGCGTGCGATTCTTCAGAGCAGCTCAATTGAGATCCATTACAAAGCGACTTGTTGACAAAACTTTCAACTTGAATGGAGACGTTTGTTGGTCATCCTGCCATCCTCGTCGGCGCCGCTCCCCCAGCGCATCGGAGGGCAGCGGGACACGGGGCGCCAGCCCTGACCGCGTAACAGTATCATGCGGAACGCCAACCGTGCCGTGCCCCTCCGCGCCGCGCCTCCTGCCCCGAGGGACCCGGCGGAGGTCAACGCTCTAGGCGCCGCACCAAACGACGAGGGACGGTCAGGCAGTCGCCGCCGCCGCCGCCGCCCGCGGTTCGCCTGCTTGCTGGGTTACTTTTCTTGCTTCCTCGTTGGCAAAAGGCTACTAGAGTCACGTACGCATACCAACGCCGTGGACTCGGGAGTTTGGATCCCGTTAACTGGATTAAACAATTTCCACGGTCCCGCAGACACCCCATGAAACCTGCAGAATCTTTATCCCATCAATCATATTTATTTATTTATAAAAATGACATTTTTAACAGAAAAAATCCATTTAGGTACTTCTTGCGACAGGTATATAGTAAATCACTATTAGGCCGCGAGATAATAGTCTATGCTCAAGATAAAACGGTATAATATTTCTCCTGTAAAATGACAATTTTGGTGACATGTCTCGCTTTTCTTTCGTACCGACGATTCATGGAAATACAGAAAATAATTCTTCACAGGTCGTGTCGTTTGTCACGCTTAGAGTAGAAAAAACGAACACAAATCAAGGCATGCAGTGAATCAATCTGCAAATCACTTTTTCGCTCTGCGAGAAGAAATAAGAGATAATTCTGTTATTTACTTACGGTCATTTCCAAATGTTTTACTGACACATGTACTTTTTTTTGTTGAACTCCTAATAATTCTATAATTGAACATTTTTCGAAATATTCCAACAATGCGGAACTTTTATAGAACTTTTCGATCGTTTTTCAAAACAAGATTAGAACTTTCAATATGCCATCGAAAATGTGGTTGTTGAAGTTTTAACAAAACAATCGGTAACTAGTGCTTGAATCAAAATTACATGCCCACTTTGGCACAGAGCCGCTGTCTCTGCACAGACCGATCGGGAGTTCCAAGACTGAGTTCCGACGGTGGCGAGACTTGCGACATTAGCTAAAAGGGCTAGATCGTAGTCAGCTGCTGCCTGAAGGAGAATTCTAGTTGCTCTGATCGGTAGTTTTCTGTGGTTTCTCCAATCATAAGTCGAATACTGGAACAGTACCCTAACAAATGGACCACGGACCGCGCGCGATCTTTCCTTCCTCCTGTCATATCCCCTTACACACACTACCCTGCCATACAAGTCCAGAAACCAATCTGGAGTAGTGGCGTTAAATTGCCATTTACTGCGGTAAATGACAGGTGCAAAGGTTTCAGAAATTATGTGTCATAACAGTGTATTTTAACTATTTTAAAATTGCTTGTTCATTAATACGACAATAAATAACCTGTTAGTACACATGAACCATAAGTATAACAAGTGGTGCTAAAACAGAACGAACCATTCGCATTAATTGTAGGTATTGGTTGCGTAATACTATACTAATTGAACCTGCAAAAAGGTTTGCCAACAGTGGGATTCGAACTCTGGTTAGCAAGCAATGCACGTAACCCCAATCGGCTGAGACGGCATAACAATCTTCCAAAAGCTTTAAAACGAAGTTTGAATATTTTCCATGTTCAACAATTCAGAGTTTAATGGTATCAGATGAGTCCAAGTAAAAAAAAAAGGAAAAAGAAAGATATTGCAAATGATATTTTTTTAAACAGCTGTCATTATTTCACTCAAAATCAGACGAAAACTACTATTGTTAACAAAAGAAGTAATCTAAATATTGTAGTTGTAGCAATACCCCCAAAAGATTTTATACTTAAATAATTTTCAAAAATTCAGATTTTGGCAAAAATCGAACGTACGCAATTTTTACAAGCGTACTTTGCTATATTCAAAGAAAAAAAGTATTTCAAACCAATTTTTTGAAAATGTCATTGAGACGTCTTGTAAAGTACCTCCCAAAATATAAATATACGACAAATTCATAAGGCCACGACTTCAGCTAGGGCGACCGGGGAATGTTTGGTGAAAATCCAATTACGGCTCACCCGCTGGCGTTCATGAACGGACGGACGTTTTACCTTAAAACCCATTTTCAGTATCAAGGACCCACGAAATGCGAGTTCTCAATACTCAGTGTATCTGAGGAGTCATTTATTACATATATGCGAGTTATCCACTTCTTCTTGGCGTTATCCACTTCTTCTTGGCGTTATCCACTTCTTCTTGGCGTTATCCACTTCTTGGCGTCAGGGACTAGTCGTTTTTTGTCGAAAAGTCGTAGTTTTCTGCAGCGTTACACGTCTTTCCCTAGGCTACTTGTGAGTATGCGCAAAAGTATTGTAAAACTAAGCATTCGCAAACGGACGTACTCGCACTCAACCAAGAATTTGTCCAAAAGGAACTACGAAATTTGTGACTCCGTAAATACTTCAAGGGCCCTTATTTGCTCTTCCTGATTGCCTGTAATCTTCTAGGCATGTATTTGCCTCGTTTTTTATTATTTCACGCGAAACGTTTCGCCATTCTGACCACAGAACTACTTTTGATTGGTTCTTCAAAAAACTGCGTTAGCGCATCTTAGTAGCCAATTTACGCCCCGTTTTCGATGGCATCAATATTGAGAGATTGTAGTGGTGTCTTCATGGCACTTGTGCAAGTCTTATTTAGATCAATGCGCGTTTGTTCATTATCCGAGTAAAGATGAAGGTGTCAGACCCATTTCGCGCACTCTTTTTCAAATGTCGATAAAGAGATTTTCCAGTTAATCGTTCTTTCGACAAATGCCATATTTCCGATATCATCAGCACTACAGCACTCACACACAAGCACAGATCCTCCACAATGTTTCTCCTGTAGGTGTGGGGGTTCTTCTCTTCGAGCCCTGTACTTTATCCGCTACACGCATGTTTCTATACCCCCCCCCCACACTATTTAAACCCTCGTTATTTGCATACGCTGTTGCATAGGTTAATCTTTTCCACCTATTCGCTTTGTTAATGAAGAGCTTTGCGCGGGCTGATTGCTTCACACACACCTTGGTTTTCGGAAAACGTTGCTAATTGTTTCTCTTATGGATGCATAGAGTACCTGAAGTTGGCGAGAACGCGAGCCCGAGGCGAGTCCCTGCCCGTGACGTCGCCTCCAGAATATGAGCTACGAGCGTGAGAGCAGACAACTGACGTTTTGGAGAGCGCGCCAGTGTATATGAACTTCTGTATCTGTCGAAGCGAGCACAGTCGGCGTAATCTTAATGGACCTTTGGTGATTTTGTGTGCGGACTGGTACATCATCTGGTGACTGCGAGCGGGCTTCGACTCTAGCATTACTTCGGGATATATTGAAATCAGCATTGTAATAGGTACGAATTGAAACTTGGAAATGTTTGTTGTGCAGGTTTACAATTTCTGATGCTTGTGGTGTTTGGGACATAACAGTTTCAGACCAAATGGATATTTCATTTCCGGTTCTACCGAAGCAACGAATTTTGAAGCACTCTGTTTGGCTAAAGGAAAGTTCGTGCGCCAACGGCAGACATTCTGCTCAAATGTAGGGGTCATATTGTATTTGAATGCAGCAGATGTGCTTCTTGAAATCATTACTAACGAATTAGACGAATATAATGGAAGTAAACTGAGCAATGTCTAATACGATACGAGAGAGATGTTTCAAACATCAACTTAACATACCTAATGCATACCGCGAAAAGTTTCTCCCATT